ATAGATTTTTTTCCTCTGGTATTAGAAATTGAACATAGGGGGCTGGGGTTGTGGCTCAGAGGTAGAGCGCTCGCCTAGCACGCGCAAAGCCCTGGGATCGATCAATCCTCAGCACCACATAAAAATCATTAAATAAAATAAAGGTATTATATTCAACTACAACTAAAAAATAAAATATTTAAAAAAATGTAACACAGGGCCTCACACATGCTAGACAATTACTGAGCTACATCCCAGATCTTTTAATTTTATTCTGAGACAGGTTTTTGCTAAATTGTATAGGCTGGCCTTAAACTTGTGATCCTCTTGCCTCAGCCCCCTGAGTAGCTGGGATTATAGGCAAGTAACACTGTACCTGGCTCTAAAGGTTTAAAATTTTATATTTATTTATTTATTATCAGGGATTGAAGTCAGGGGTGCTTAACCACTGAGTCACATCCCCAGCCCTATTTTGTATTTTATTTAGAGACAGGGTCTCACTGAGTTGCTTAACTCCTGGCCTTTGCTGAGGCTGGCTTTGAACTCTCAATCCTCTTGCCTCAGCCTCCGGAGCCACTGGGATTACAGGAGTGCATCACCACGCCCAGCTCCTGTTTATTTTTTGAGACAGGGTCTTGCTAAGTTGATGATGCTGGTTTTGAATTGCCATCCTCCTGCCTCAGTCTGCTGAGCCACTGAGATTACAGGTGTGCGCCACCATTTCCAGCCTCTAAATTCTAAATTTATTAAACAATGAAGTCTCCTGACTCTTTAAATGTTGGCAACTAATTAATTAAACCACTGTGTGGGTCAGAGCATGGGTGCCTGCTGCCAGTGTACAAAGGCTTTGACTAGCCTGTACTGTGTAGCTTCTGTGTCCCTCATTCAAGTTATCTTGGTTAATTGATTTAGTCTTGCCTCCTCCCTTTGTCATTCTCCTGTGTCCTGTGGTGTAAACTCTGGTAATGTGGCTCGCTATCTACTTGTTTTTTCCTTTTTCCATCTTTTTGTTGTTGTTGTTGGAGATTGTCTCAACACCTTTATTTTATTTATTTATTTTGCATGCCAGGCGAGCGCGCTACCATTTGAGCCACATCCCCAGCCCCCACTCTCTAGTTCTTAAAGTCTGGCTTTAATACTCAAGTGCCTGCTCAATACCCAAGAGCCCATCAGTGTGGCCTCTACCCACCAACCTCCTCACTTTCCTTCTGATGGCTTTGGGACACACTGGGAAGCTTGCCACTTCCAAACAAAACAAGACCCATAGTGCTGGGAATGTGGCTCAATAGTAGAAGTCTTGCCTAGGGTGCATGAGGCCCTGGATTCAATCTTCCTGTTACCACACTCAAACACCCCAAAATACCTGTGACTTTTTTTTTTCAGTACTGGGAATTTGAACCCAGAGTCTTATGCATGCTAAGCAAGCACTCTGCCACTGAGATGTATCTCCCACTGTCCATTTATTTGATTGCTATGGTTTTGCTGTGCTTAGATTACCAAACTCACACCCATATGCACCTTATTATCTCATTTTTTTTCAAGTTATTTTTATTGTAGTAAAATACAATAACTGCCAGGTTTCTGTTCTCTCGATTAAAAGGCTCAGGGGTCACTCTAGTTAAGCTGGGCTAACTGGGCTGCACAAAATAACCACACAAGAGACACAAATACCTTTTTCTTTGGGGTTGCTGTGAGGGCTCCTCTGACCTTAAGGGTCCGCAGAAAGAGAGAGTGCGAGAGCACGCGCTGACCCCTTTTATTGAGGAAAAGCTATTCAAATGAGGCAAGGGGTCGGGTTTCAGGGGGCTGAGTATCTTCATGATATCCACTGTCAGCAGGTTGACTGACACCTGGGTAGGCCACACCCAAGGGCACAGTAAGAGGAGGGGACACACACAAGGCACTTCCATGGAAGATTCTATCCTAAACAGGGCAAGGGGTTATATTACAAAGGAACAGGTGAGCATAGCTTCACCCATGGGGCTGTAGCAAGACACACCCATTTCTGTGATTGAGCACCTCAGCACCCAGCTGGGGAGTGTAACTCAGTCACCCGTAAGGTTGGCCTCCCACAAATAACATAAAATTTACTATCTTAACTATTTTAAGTGTCTAGTTAGGTAGCATTAAGTATATCACCACCATCCATCTCCAGAGAACTTTTTATATTGCAACAGTGAAACAATCACTTCCCACTCCTCCCCCTGCCCCTGAAACCACCATTCTACTTTCTGTCTCTATGATTTCAACTTGTCTAAGTCAAAATATGTCTAAATATGAGTGGAACCATACAGTATTTATCTTTTTGTGGCTAGTTTATTTCATTTATCATAATATTCTCAAGGTTCATCTGTGTTGTAGCATATATCAGAACTCCCTTTTTTTAGGCTAAATAATATTCCACTGTATATATTATATGTATTCTATTTTGCTTGTCCGTTCATGACTATAGACACTTGTGTTGCTTCCATATTTTAACCATTGTGAGTAATGCTGTTATGAACATGGGTGTATAAATCTCTTCAAGACCTTTGCTCATCTATTTAATACTCCCTCCATGAAGCCATTTCTCAACCTTCTTAAACTCCATGGCTTTACTAGCCTCTGCTTCTTTTCAACATCTATTTATTGGACACTTAGTATCCACCAGCAGGGTCTGAATTGGGAATACTGAGGTAAAGAAGACCCAGTCCAGGTTTTGAGGAGTCTCACCCAAATGAAAGCAGACACACTAACATGGCTCATCTATTTTTTTTTTTTTTTGTACTGGGGATTGAACTCAGGGGCACTTAACTACCGAGCCACATCCCCAGCCCAATTTTGTATTTTATTAGAGACAGGGTTTCACTGAGTTGCCCAGCACTTCATCATTGCTGAGGCTGGCTTTGAACTCATGATCCTCCCCAGTCACTGGACTTACAGGCGTGTGCCACTGTGCCCAGCCTACATGGCTTATCTGTATGCAGCTTGAGCAAGTGGAGAGGACAGCAACGAACTTTCACTGGAGAATCAGGGAAAGGTTTCTGAGCTGGGTCATATATAGAGTAGGAACTTCCCAGGGGCAAAGGGGCATTTGAGATAGAAGGAACTGCTTGTGCAAAAACATGAGCAATGTCATTTGAGTGGGGATGAAGCAGAGGAAGTGATAAGGAGTGGTTTGGGAACCAAATTATCACAGCCTTTGCATCTGTGCTGCATGCATTCCAGAGTGTAAGCTCCAGGGGAGCAAGGCTGTGTCTTGGCCTCCATTGCTTCACACCTGCCACCTGCCTGAGACTGACCTTCCCTTAAACTCTTGTAGGAAGAAATTACACTGGCCAGTAATGCCAAGAGCGCCCCCTAGTGACCTCTGCAAAGCTCCCACCTCCTCCAGCCAGAGCAGACAGAGCCAGGCAACTATTATCCCAGCAGCTGTAACTAGGGATAGCACTTTGTGTAGCATCATTCCACTTGATCTCTACCCCTCCCTGAGAGTATGTTCACTTCAGGCCAACAAACACTTATTAAGTACTTACTCTGTGTTGATCATTGGGTATTCTAGACATTGTTTGAGTCATTAATCACCCTGCTTATAGAGAACCAACAATAATGGGGGCCCAGAAGAGAGATTGAGTCTGGACATCGGCCTGGAAAAGTATGGGGTTAGGAGGGGAAATACAGCACCCATGAAAATGAACAAAGAGAATGAGCCCCACCCCTGCCATCTACTCAACATTCACTGAATAACTACCATTAACTGAGGTCACAGAGGGTACATGAGGTGCTGGAGATCCAGAGATGACTAAGATGCCATCTGTGACTCCAGGAGCTTACAACCAGCAGGAAGACAGATAGGTAAACAAAAGAAGAGGTGCCCTGTGCTCAGAGTCCTGTTGGCAGATCCAGGAGTGTGGAGCAAAGAGTACCAGCCAGCAGGACCAGTGCGGCAGTGGGAAGTTTTGATCTTAGGCTGGGATGATAAAGGGAAGGTGGTACCTGTGGTCTCACTGAATAGAACAGGTACAATCAAGAGGCATTACCATTGAAAGGTGGCTCATCTGGTGTGCAGGAAGGTTCTGCTTCCTGGTTTGGCTGCTTCTTCAGAGATGTGCACAGTGGTGGAAATTCAGAGTTGAACACCCAGAACTTCACATATGTAGATTCATGTCAATGGCACTTCAGTTGCTTACCAGTAGCCCCCAACCTCTCCTGGAAGACTATACTCTGGGGAATATTTTTTGGGTTTGGATCCAGTCCTCCCACACCAACTCCAGGACCTCAGAATTAACCTTCACTGTCAGTTTCCTTGCCTGTAAAATGGGGGTAATAGCACCTTCACCACAAGGTTGTGATGAATTGCATATGAAATGTAAAGCACTTCAGTAGTGCTTCCCACCTGCTTCTCTCAACAATGTCAAATTTCTAATGATTGTCAGTGCCTGGCATATAGGAGCTCAAAGTGATTTATTAAATAAATGAGTTAATTGAAAGTGTGACTTTTTTTCCCTCCCCTACCAGGAGATAGTTTGAGCAAACAGAGAAGTGGATTGGCATGGGGTAACTCAATTAATGGCTCTTGGGCAGCACAGAACTTGGGAAGGGCTGCATTTACTTCTGTGGATGGACAGGGAGGCAGACCTAAGTCTGATCAGGTGGATGGAAGGATCAGGGTTGAAGCCTGTGCAACCCCTCTCCCAACCCCCCAGTACACAGGGGGTTAAGACTCGCCCCAGCTACCGAGCAGGCCCAGTGAGAAGCTCCACCAGAAATCATACTACACAGCAGGGCCTTGGCCTCCAGGTGCCCCCTACTTGCATGGCCCTCACCCCTCCCCTCTGGTGGTCAAATTTGGCACTTCTCTCCACCCTGGGGCCAGAGCAGTTTCGGGAGAGGTGGGAAAACCTGCTAAACAGGATGGCCAAAGTCTGAACCAGTTGGACTGGGCGGTCACATCTACCCCTAGCAATCTTATCCCTCTCTTGCCTGCAGAACAGAGGCAGAAACTGTGCAAAACAAATGATTTTATTTAAAAATTTTATTTTTTGAGGTGCTGGGGATTGAATCCAGGGCCTCATGCATGCTAGGCAAGCACTCCACCACTGAGCTACACCCCAGCCTCACAAAACCATTTTATCACACTGTGAGTGAATTGGATTTGTGGGAAATTGAGGAGGGGTTGGTGGTGTGATGTCAGAGAGCCCTGGGGTTAGGCACTGGGGATTCAGGGGCTGGTCAAGGGCAGAGCTCAACCTCAAGGGAAAAGGAAGAAAGAAGGCAAAGGAAGACATACCTTCCATTTGTCTTCACTCCTACCCCTAGGGCATTAAATAAACATAAAGCTTTTTTTTTTTTTATTTCCCCTCCGCAACACTGGGGATAGAACCCAGGGCCTTGTGCATGCTAAGCATTAAGCACACACTCTAGCACTGATCTATGCCTCCAGCCCCCAAAAGCAATACTTTACAACACTAACTACAATAGAGAAGTCCTTCCTTCCAGCTCTGGACCGTGTAGTGGAAGGGCAGCTGTGGAAGACACTGGGGCCTCCAGCTTCTGACACCATCCCAGGCACCATGGGGTGGGGGCAGGCAGCTTCAACCAGGACCTAAAACTCCAACTTCCTCTGAACCCCTAGGCAGGGCAGGTCCTTCTATGCACAATACTCCTGGTTCAAGGATCTTTTGCTTCTCTCAGACCCTTGTGTTTTCTCAGAAACAACTAGCCTGAGCCCAGAGGCTTCCAAGACAGCTAAAGCCCTGGCTTTTGAGGCAGAATGTGCCAGGAAAACAGGCAGGAGTCTGGTCCCAAAGTTTTCCCCAGTCCAGGCCTCTGTCTTGGTAAGCAGGAAGCAGGGCCTGGTGAGAGATGGCAAGAGCCCCAGGCTCAGAGGGGTCGGGTGGTATGATTATAGACCAGGTGCTCTGTGTCTTCAGTGGTGGAGACAGTGGAGCTGGCAGGGGTGGGTGGTGGGTGATTCAGGTGGTGATGTCTGCGCAAGTCCTGTCTCTGGTTCTTGAAGCACCAATAACCCAGGATGGCTATCACCACGATGATGCAGGTGACCAGGAGTACAGCAACAGCCACTTCCACAGAGCCTGGGGAAGGAGGAGCAGAAAAAGGGGCTCCCAAGCCTTGCCTGGCTATGACACTTACCCCATTCTACCAAGGGAGTCAAGTCAAATAGATGCCAGGTATGGAAGCACATGGGTACCCAACTCACACCTCCAGCATATAAACTGAAGGCAGCTCTGGCAGCTCAGATGGGTTCCAATAGGTCTTAGGTCTTGGCTCTAAGTTACTCTACTTACAGATAGCTTGGGAAAAAGACCTGGGACTCTGATTACAGACATCTCCGAATTTCCACACTCCGAATTTCCCTTCCTTGCCCATGACGGGCCTCACTATTTGATTGCAGTAGTCTGTCTCTATAGGTAACCTTAGGATCCTTTTCAACATGGTTTAAGAGTCCACAACCAATCATGTGGAGTTGATCCCTTGAGTTGATATCTATGCATCCACCTTGGCATCAGGACAGACCAGAGCTTACCTACACTGGAGATGGAGCTTTCCCGTCGCAGACCAAACACATCTTTCTCTGCAACATGATGGGGGAGAGAGACCAGTTAGTATTAAGGGCCCTGAGACTCAGCTGCTCCCAGTGCCCCAGCCCCTCTTTGCCATTCTCTCCCATGGCTTGATGGAGGGGTGACCCACTTAGGCCTTGGGACAGAGCTAAGTCTCTTCTTCTTCATCCCACCCAATACATCCCCACCAGCCCCCTCACTGGAGATGCCGTGACAGGACTCGAGACACTGCTGCTCTTCCTCAAAGTTGTTCTTGTTGCCATAACAACCACCATAAGTGAAGCGGGCACAGCGTTCACTGAAAGGGTTGTAGTACCAGCGTGGGATGCTCTCCTGACAGAGTCCTGTGTCTGGCAGGTCCACACAGTGCCCTGGGGGGTGGAGAGCAGGCAAAGCAGTGAACACACAGAGAATCCCTGCCACCACCCTGCAGGCCCCACGTGGCTTCTGCCCACCACCTCCTGCCTGCCCCATGGGGAGAGCAACTGTGGTTCAGTGAGGATCTGGGAGCCCCAGAAACATCTGGATCTTCTGCAGTTTTGCCAGAGACAAGGAAGGCAAAGTCTGAAAATAAGCTTTGGCATAATGGGAAACTACATGGACTTACACAGTTATTTTTCAATTTTCTGTCACTGTAGTTTGCATTTTTAACAAAGAAAATGGCTCTCAAAGAGGATGGTTCTCAGGGCTGGGGTTGTGGCTCAGAGGTAGAACGTTCGCCTAGCATGTGTGCAGTGCTGGGTTTGACCCTCAGCACCACATATAAATAAAGAAATAAAATAAAGGTATTGTGTCCAACTACATCTGACCCAGTATGTTCATATTATGCACAACTACAACCAAAAAATATATATATTAAAAAAAAAAAGAAGATGGTTCTCAGAGTCTGAGCCTTGGCAAGCAATGATGTCCAGCTAAAATTCACTAACATTGTTTATTATATTTATCATAATTTTCAACTTGTAGCAAATTACAGTTGCTTTCCATTTACCTGAAATTCCTTTTTAATACACTGAGTTAAAAAAAAAAAAAAAAGAAACTGATTAAGTGATCTGCATTGGGCATGGCTAACATTACAAAGCTGTTCAGATAATGGGCGATCATTGAGGTGGGGAAGCATAGTCACAGAAGGGGACCCAGGAGCCAGCCAGAGAACAGGCTGCTCCCCAGGAGAAACCCTCTGCCCTCCAGGGCTTTGGGCCTTAGTCTGGCACATACAATAGGTTCCTCGGGCACTGCCAGGTGGAATGAGGATGGCAGTGCCAGTGTTTGACCTGACCCAGAGGTTCTGGGGAGGATCTCACCTTTGTCACTGAGGAAATGGATACTCTGGAGCTCATCAAAGCCACTGGTGTCTGCAGAGACGAAAAGTCAGAGGCTCAACAAGGGTCTCCCAGGGACACAGGGCAGAGCTGCTGGGACCTCCCTGCCTGCTGCCCACCCCTTTTCCATTCCCCAGGCCTCACATTTTTCACAGGTGGCCTCGTCAGAGCCGTCAGGGCAGTCTGGGGTGTCATCACACTCCAGGAAGCTGTCGATGCAGCAGCCATTACTGCAGCGGAATTGGGTGGAGTGGCAGCTGCCAGAACATACTGGGTCAGGGAAGAACGTGGTAGAGGTGAGGTCAGGCTCAGGCAAACAACAGGTGCCAAGGGTCCATGGTCTGCCTGGCCTTCTCCAACATGATATCCTGATGTGTGCCTATTCTCTCTCCACCAACCCGACTCCTCATACATGTAACCTGGGCAGATTCTGACAGGAAGACGTTGGGTTGGAAGGGGTGGGGTGTTCTATGGTCCTTCCATATTACAAGAGGAGGAATGTGTTGGGCAAAGTTGGCTTGGTCACGGGTATGGAGGAAGACCTGGCAGGGTGAGGGAGACAGGGAAAGTAACAACACCTACCTGGATGGTGCCTTTCCATTGAGGGGCCTGGGAGAGAATGGAGAAGTCAGAGAGGCATGGTCAGGTCCCAGCAGATATGAGATGATTGCAGGTGGGGAATAGGAAACTCCCACAGCCCACTCCCTGACTGGTGAAGAAAGACCACCCACCCTGGGTGAAAAGTCAATTAAGCCCCAAAGCTGCCTCTCAAAGGCCCACCTTGCACATCCCGGCAGGCTAGCATACACTCTTCTTCCCGAAGGTAGTTGTTCTTGTTGCCCAAGCAACCTCCATAAGTGAATCTCTTGCAGATTTGTTCTGTGGGGTCATAGTACCAGCGGGGGAAGGAACCCCGGCAGCGGCCCACCTTGTTAGATGCAAGGCAGTAGTCTAGAGGGAGGAGAGCTTGTGAGGGGGAGGCTATGGGACCCATTAGCAGAGGGCGGAAGGCTCCAGGTGCCACCTGCCCACCCTTCCCTCACCTTCCGTCTGCTTGGCAGATAGCACAGTGACTGTGACGTTGGCCTTATTCTCTGGTTGTTCTGAGCCAGTCACTGTCAACTGGAACAGGTAGGTGCCTTCCTTGAGTCCCCACAGCTCCACCTGGTCCGGATTATTCCTCTACACATAAGACTGGTCATCAGGCTTGGACACCCCTTAATACCCTTGGGCTGCCCCAGGAACTCCCAGCCACATACCCACCTCCTAGGGACTTGGTGCTAAATTCATCCTCACCTTCTCTCCACCCCACACCACCTGGAGCCACTGGTTAGCCTATTACCCTAGGAGGCTGATGGGGGAGGAGGTCAGGAAGTCGGTACAATATCTCACCTCTATCCTGACGTCTGTGCCACCCTGCAATAGATGCCAATCTGTGTTGTCCACATCCTTTAGCACCAGGGGTTCCTGGGGCTGCACCTTCAAGTCTATGCCCACCCAGGCCCTTGGGATCCGGGACCCTGGGGGAAGGTGAAGTAAGATCAACTCTCACTGAATGGACCAGGTATCTCCTGGGGAAGGAAGTAGGGCAGGGGCACTATGGGCCATATCTGGATCAACTTGGAATTTAGCAGCTTGTGTGGGACATGGTAAAAGCTAACAAAACCAGTGTCTTGTTCTCTATTCAGGGACATTATGACTTTAGTATACTGGAGACATTCTTTATGTAGTAAAACCCACTTTCTGTTTCTTACTGAACAGCCTGTGCTGTCTAACCTCATTTGGGAAGTGTGTATGTACTTGGAGGAATGAGCTTGTTCCTCTATAATAAGCAGGTGCTTGTGCTAATTGCTTTAAAGTAACACTTTAAGGTTAAAGTAACACTTTCTTTTAAAGTCAAAAAAGGAAATGTGTAATTAAAATTTATCATGTTTACTCTGCCAGTCTAGACCATGCAAAAGCCTGTCTGGACAGAGGTCTAAAGCAGAGTTCCTGAGAAATAAGGTAGCAGGCCCTGGAACCCCAGGGTGAGTGGCTATGGGAATGAGGTGTCTGTGTCAGCTCTGACAGATTCTACAAGTGGTAGAATCTTAGTGATAGACTCTTAGTGACAGTCTGTGCCTATGGCTTCCTCTATCCAGGATCAAAAGCCAGGGGACAGAGATAAGAACAAAGCATGAGTTCCACTCATTAAATGGTGGCTCCCAA